CTCACTCCTAAGGCACTACACGCTCCTGGGGAGTTTGGTAGCAAATCTGGTATTGGTACTATATCAACTTACGTGTAGTAGTTCAAAAAGGAACAGGGAAGCATGCAAATAATAAAACTGATTAAATATCAGAGCACAGTTTTAAATCCATTGTAGCGTTCCTTCATTCTCCAGCATTTCCAGATCAAGCATTTTATGATCACTGATTCCAAATTAGGTATATTATCCATAACATTATAGGGAAATGGAAACAAAGCAATAAAGCTCCTTCCTGAAAGGTCACATTGAAAGTGTCTTACATTTTACAAATCCATATGGCTTCATAAATGAAGCGTAGTATATGCAGTTCCAGAAACATATCTAAACTGCGCACACTGCAAACCTTGTATAAACATCATAGATCTGCCCACGCTGCCAAAGATTTGCAATAAGCTTTTGTTTACAACAGCAAAGAACTGTCCAGTGCATTTATTATTTTGCCGACTACTCTGAAGCACTTAGCAATCTTTCCACTCAGCATGTTAATTATGGAAGATGCTTTTTGTATTACATGATTAATTTAAAGCCTGTTCAATCTCAATATAAGAAATCCAGATTGTGAAGCATCTCAAAAACAATTTACTCTTCCTCTTAGCACCTTTGGTCACTAATAGCAATTTCACAGTACATTATGTCAAATAAATATACTTTAATACCCTAATCAAGCATTTAGGGATCAGCTTACAAAGATTTAATACACAGTAACATCTTTGAAGTTAAAGGTCAAAAACAATTTCCATTTTGACCTCTGTCTCAGTATACACAAAACCGAACACATACGCATACATGATAGAGTTAAAATTTGGCTTTTAGCTTCTTTGCCTCAAGAGATAATTATTCTTCCCAGCTTTGAAAAGATTTGATTTGGCCATGATTATACATCCCTCCCCTCTTAAAAAATAAAACACATTTTTAGTGTTTTCAGATGTTGAGTTCTTTTATGCTAGCTAAAGAGACTAATTTGAGTAGAAAGAAGCAGCCATCAGCCAAAGTCCAGTCTTTTGAAGATAATACAGCTATGTGACAATTTCTAGCGTTTGGCTGTGGAAAAGCCAGGATCACTTGGTGTCTTATATCCTGCCTCAAGTTATCACATAAACTTGTGACATCTGGCTCTGGAAGAAATTTCAGTTCATCCTTTAGGCACATCAGTATGCCTCTTTCTTGCTCCTCTTTGCATATGAAATCTCATAATCATTTTTATCTTAAAATCATATGTAGCATTAACAGCAAAGCATACAGCTAAAATGCCAAAATTCAAAATACTTTTTTCTAGGTCAGTATAGGACTGTGTTTGTATGGCATGTGCACCTCAAATCACAGAACACAAGACCAGGAAAGAGGATCAAAGTCAGGACTTCTGCTATTGAATATCAGGAATAAACTGGAGTAGGGGACTACAGAAACACAGTTACACCACTTTTGAAACATTCCATATATCAACAGGCATAGGCGTTGCTCTGAAATTGTTACATTGCTATTGGCAAGGAGGGCACACTTCTATCCAAATTTACAGCTGACACTTTCAAATTTAAGCAAAATACATAGCATAGCTCCTTAAACACTTACTGAATATATGCATGCATCTGCCCTGCAAAGCCTTTCAGCGACATCAGTTAGTCATACGTTTTGGAAAGCAGCACTTTGGAGGCCAAGGAAAGCTGACTGCAAGAGAGGCAGCGAACAAGACGAGAAGGAGACACACTACTGTAGGTGCAGCACCTCAGACACGCAAGTGATGTTGGCACGTAGGCGCTCCGAGCTTAGAGTCTCCCGGCTTCAGTGCGACGCTGCACGATAGCATTGTTGGCTGGTTGCAGGCTCAAAAAACCGGGCAAATGGAAGGCAATAGGCCATACGCACTGGTTAAATCTATTGATGTTGTACATTAATTGCTTGGCTTTTTATGGTCATTTACCTCATAGCACATCTTTATGTTTTGAAGTACAACTATCAAAACTTCTTGGACTAAAACCACTAGAAATATTTCCAGCTTTCTATTGGACTGAGCACCACTGGATATTCCCATTAAATGGGATGGTGTGAGAGCTGCCAATACTGAACAACTTTGAGCCTTGGGCTGCAACAACTTAGGCAAAAAAACTTCTGAATTTTGCTTAAATGCAATGGTTAAAATCCTGTTCATTTGGAAAGCTCAGTAAAAATATGCCAAAATAAAAAGTTCACTTCTCAACTTTCTATTGCCAGCCCTTTATTGAACCTTGCGTTAAGTGGTTCCTTCAACTGGTTATTTCCACGCTTCATCAAGCTAATACACAATTTTGACAGTAACCTGCCCCATATTTAAACATCGCCTTTAGAGGCTCCATTGGTATTGTAACCATTAGCCTCCCACCAAACCAAAACCAAAACGATAAAACTTCAGAAATTTTCAATGTTGTAAACAGAAAAATCCAAGTAACTGGAGAGCCATCACTACGGTATTTTTGGCACCAATGCTTAGCAACTACATAGACATTTTATTTAAAAATCTACTTGCACTGTTACAGAGGAGGATACCAAAGGCAAAGTATTTCACGCAAAAGATTTTGCTCATTTACTTAGTTAATAATGATGGCTTTGCTTTGTTATCCAGACAAACAAAACTATATTAAGCTAAAACAACATTATGGTCCATGCCCTTTGAATAATTTCCAGAGTAAGGAAAAAAAAAAAATATATATATATATATATAACACACATACAACATTTCCACTGTTATTTTGAATAAAAGACCTTGATATATGGTATTTTGCCAGTAACAGAAACTACTCCCATTTTTAAAATTCTGACCCAATGCAGCTGCTTTGTTTAAATAAATAAATAAATAAATAGAATTAATGATTTTTTTTGCATCCACTTCGATAGATCAAAAGCCAATGTTATTCCAAAGTTAGAGCAATATAAGCAAAATTTTATTTGTTACTTGAAAGAAATTAAATGGAAAAAAGCCAGACATTTTTTTTTAATTCAGCCATCATATTTTCTTCATTAACATTTTGCAATGTTTGACAATCCTTAATAAAATAGCTTCAATATTACCTAAAACGTTGCAATTTAGCCTTTATAAGTTATGCCAAACTTTTCACGGTTCAGTCCTCAAAGCCTACTGACTCATAGCAAAAAATGGGATTTATAGTTACATCCTAAAAATGATTTAAGTTAAAATAGCAAGAAGCTGCAACTTTCCAGGCCCCTCTTTCATACTACATTCACTTAGGAAATATTTTAATGACAGGCAATTCTAAAAGAGAAGCAGAGATGCAGTATGTTTAACGGGCCAAGTTAAGAGTTCGCACGGGGTGGGGAGTGATACTTTCTAACATCACATACTTGAGCAGACACTATTAATGGTATCGTATTTCCTAACTTTTGGTTTCATAAGACACATTAGCTTTGTTCCCTAACAGGGCAGTCTCTACAGAAAAACAACACATTAAGAAAATGCTTGGAGTATTTATCATTTCCAGTTACTAAAAGCTAGCCCTTCCGGAATTTTTTTCAAAATTCGTTTCTTAGCTTAACTGAATCTATCCTTATGTAAAACAGAATAGGAGAGAAAAAAAAATCCTTATGTATAATGAGCTTAAAACTACAAACTGTTATTTAGGGTACTACCCCTCAAAGATAAGCTATAACCTGAACCAACTGCTTTCTGAAGCATCAGGCTATGCTTCTGTTTCTCAGAAATTAAGCTGGCTATTCTTTTTTTTACTGCCCAAGAAGTGTGAAACAAACAACTAAATTGCCATGGCAGAAGTCTTAACCTGAAAGGGTTTCGAATAAAAAAGAGGTATCAAGTACAGAGGAAAAAAAAAAAAAAAAGCTATAATCAGAATTTAAAACTCAGCCCCCCTTTTTGCCATAAAGGGAGTTGTGCAAACTAAGACAAAAACCGTGAGTAAACTCAGTAAAGAGAGCATCGAACCAGTTAAATGCAAATCAAATCTTCAGATATCTGAAACACTTCTGGTCCAAGATGTGCTCAGTTCTCCAGACTTTTCTTGAGCAATCGTTAGTGGGAACTTTGGTGCTCTTGCAGCACCTTTGATATAAGAAAATGTCAAATCTAGCAACAAAAGTCTTGCAGATCACTATAACAATTTGTTAGAAAAACAATTTTCATATTACTTTCTAGTTACCTATCTATAAGAAAAGATAATCCCCAAAGGTATTTTAGCATTAAGAAAGTTCTGTTTTACTCCCATCATAAGCAGACAAAATGAACAAAGCTTACTGACAGTGAGAGCTGCTCTTCCCACTTTATGACGGGTAAACAATACACTCAACTAAAAGCAATAACTGGATTTAGCATTACTTTCATACTTTTTGATACTAAACTTCATCTTCCATACTGCTACAGGGTAAGCAGTTTTGCAGAAGTCAAGTTTTGTATTAAGTCCTTAATAGTCACCTTCTTACCTTTTTTTTTCATTGCTAACAAAAGCAGGAGAAATCTACAGATTTGCTTTCTACAAAGTCTAATACAATACCCTGGAGTCCACTGATAGCAGTGGCATTAGGCAAGTGTAAATCAAATTGAGCTAACTAGAAAATAAAATCCAAAGGCCACTTTAAAAATGCTCTGGGTCTCAAACAGAGGATAAAACCACAACTTTTATTAGTATTTATCAGGGGTTTTTTGTTTTTTTTTTTTGTTTTTTAAATCAAAGCCTCTTCACCTACACCCTAGCCATAAAAGTCACCCAGCAACACCAGAATCTTAATAGCATTTGTATTTTCTTGGCAAGGAATTGTACATTTCAAGTATGAACTATTAATGTTAGTACATACTAAAGTCAACTGTGCTTAAAAATAATTTAATTTATGGCAGGTTCTCAGTGCTGTCTTTTTTATTAAAGGAAGCTCATTTTATATTTATGAAATATTATGAATAACCATTGAAATCAAGGCAGAAAAACCCTAGATTTTTTAATAGGCATATAAATTGAGATACTTACAGCCGTTCAAGTTGCTTTAGATCCTGAAATGCTCCACGTTCTATTACACTAATCTGATTTTCCTCCAAGTGTCTGCAATTCCAGAAAAAAAGAGTTAATTTTAACACAACAGAATAAAATTTTTCCCACTTCTCTTCACCTACGCTATAACATGCTTTCCATATAAAATCTCTAATTATAACTGTTCCTGGTGTTTCTAAAAGAAATCTGGACAGAACAGTACTGCTTTTCGTGGTCACCAACAGGAAACTGAGCTCTCTACTAGAATTTCTTCCTTGATACAAACCGCCTCCTGACTGCCAAGACTTGGTAAACGCTTGGTAAACCATGGCCATTACACTTACAACGGTGTTGGTTTAGAGGGTGGCTGTTACATCCTTAGTACTCTAATGCAATTAAGGAGGGGTGACCGACTCCAACAGTCAACAGCAGGAAATCAATGTGCAATATTTTTTTGTTCAGCTTTGTGTTCTGCAAAAGATTTCAGGCTTGCCCCAGAGTAAATCTTTCATCAATAATCCAAAACTGTTCCATCTCCTCAGAAATGCAGCCTGCCAACGATGCGTGACAACCGTACACAGTCCCTGCTGCAGAACAGTATGAAAATCTCAAGGAAAACCCCGGGTTCCAGTGTGCCTGACCCTGCTTTTCTTCACCCTCTGAGGCTGAGACAAGGATCAAGTTACAGACAAAGCAGACGGACTGCTCTGATTTGCACTGTGCAGGAAATGACTCCTAATTCACACAGCTGAAATGCCCTATGCATGAAAGGGGAAAGCAAGGAACAGAGATACCAATAGCTCCATGAAAGAGAACTGCCTTCTCTCTCTGTGCTGCCTTCAAGCACATACCCAATTTCTGCTTGTACTCCTAACAGCTGCACCTTTCTGCGTCCAACCCTATGAGCGTTCTCAGGAGGGTCATTCAATTCACTAGGTGGAAGTTGTCAAGAGAGGCAACAAGAGGGTATCCACAACTAACTCAGGCTATGTAAGGGGAGGGGGGGGAAAGAAGAGAGAGCAAGAGCGACATACACGTGAACTGCAGAAGCATGTTCCTAAGAGGAAGAGGAGAAAAAAAGCTGCATGAAGAAGGAATAAAAAGATGAATAGGAATAAAAGGAAGAGATGTGCCAGGAAGGGTCTGCACGCATGCTGTCAGTCGGAGATTTGAGGCTTTCACACTGCTCCACCAACTGCGGTCTCATTCAGCTGGTCTCCTGCTGCTGCTGCCTTTCTAGGAACTCTGGGACAGGCTTCCGGTTCGGGCTGCTCATTACACCATCTCATACGCAGCAAAGGCGGGCAGGGGAGAAAAACAGGGAGTCAGCAATGCAGAGGAGCCAGAATTATGAAGAGACCGTAGAGAAAGCTAAGACAAACGAAGAAATACCTGAAGGACTTCTAGCAACCCAAAAGTTCAGCTGCACAGAGTAAAGGAGAAAAAACCTGGGCTCTTAAAACTTCTGCGTTAGATCTATACTAGTGTTTACAGTTGACCTTAAAGTTTGACCTGTAAGTGTCATTTTTCTCTCTATGAGGTGCTCTGCACCAGAGCTGTTGACATTTTTCTCCTTAATTTTTAAGTGGAGCTCTACCACTCACGAGATTAAGTTCCTCCTACAGAAAACAATCATGCAGAAAGAGCAGGAACTGTGGAAAGGCAAGTAACCATCAAGCAGAAGAGATTAACCTTGAAATCCAGCACAGCTTCCAGAGTAAGACTGCAAAATTTAGCGGTTAGATAACTGTTTGACCTTCACTATAGGTACAGACAGAACATCATTCCAAACCAACTAATCCACAGTTTTGAGCTCAGATCTTTGCTTCAGATTCAAACTGTAATTGAAAAGAAGTGTTTCATAGACGTACCCGATCTTTAACCAGTGATTAAAAAAAAAACTGCCAATCTTTAAATTCTTCCAATGGTCAATTATGCTCACAGTTTAAAATTTACATTTTATCAATGACTTGCTCAACTGGAACTTCTCCCCTTTGGCCTTTTTCCTTTCATACGTCCGCTTGAAAAGAGAAGTATCTATCACCACGTTTTTGCTCCTCACACCCTGATAGTAAACCAATTAGGTCACTTACCAACTAACTTCATCATCAATGACTCTAAATAGCTTAGACAAAAATGTTGCATCGTAGAATGGTAAAAGCCCCGTTCCAAGCACACACCGACTGATTCCAGTCAAACTTAATTTGCTCTCTAGGGCGTACTTCAGTTGGAGATGGAGCATTCCCCACCCTGAAGCTCTGAGCGTTGCTTTACTGTCGAGCAGTGCAAGATCAATAAAAAGAAAAATTCCTGTAGGAAAACGTATGCTGGTGCTCTTCTCGTCAATCACACTGACCAAGACAGCACATTGAAATAGCTTCCCATAGCTTCCCTTCTCTTTAATAATACTTTTGAACATTAATTACTTCACTCATTTTAAACACTTATGTCCTGCAGGCAATAATATCTATTGATTTACACTGGAGTTATGTACATCCAAATACCGATAATCTGAAATGAGGTTGTTACACTTTTATGATCTAGTTTGCACATAGACAAATACGGAATTCTGTTCTGTCTAATAATCTTTTATATAGTATCCACACAAAGATAATTTAACATTGCAGCAAAGTTCCTTATTCTTCATATATTAGAAGATAAAAAAACAATATAAAATACATATTTTCTAACAACTGTATTCCAGTTTTAGTCTATATGACTTCTACATGGCAAATACCATATGCTATTCATAATGAAGGTTAACAAACATGTCATATAAACCTGTAAGGAACACAGGAAAAAAAGTCAAATAAAGTAAAACGGTAGTTGCAGATTTTGCTTCTTAAAGTCTTAAGAATTATTCAATATAAATCACTGCAGTGGCATCCAGCAACATCTGATACTACCATCAATAGTTACACACACACCAAAAAAAAAAAAAAATCAGTGAAACCAAAACAACTACTGGCATGAATGATCGCATAATAGCTGTAAACACTATTTTAATTCAGACTTCCAAAATGGTATTGACAGTTGGGTAGGAGCCAAGGAAATCTAAATGATGCCACTGCTAGAGATGAGAGAAATAACCCAGGAAAGAAAGTCTTTCAGTGGATTTTAACTGTTTCCCTAGTTTATGATAACTTGTTCCAAAAGTGTTAAGGTAGTAGCAGAAAAGATTTTCTTTTTCAGTGACGGCGTGCCGGTCATTCGTTAATTGAATTATCACTAAATTAATGTAACATTCATTCCAGCAGTTGTAGTTTTTAGGACTTATTTTAAAATATGTACTGAAAGGAAAACATTAGCTGCAGAAGGCAATCATAAGAAACACAAAGGGGGAGCTGGAGAGGTTGTGTGTTTCTTCACTTTTGATGTAGCTACTCGTTTCAGAAAAGAGGTCAACCAAGTGGTGAAACCAACCTGCCTCTATCAGTGCCGGCCCCAACTGAAGATGAGGTTTTAACTCCAAGATTTAGCGAAACAATTCTAATGAGCCAGATGCCAGGCGCAGAATGTGGTCACTACTATGTAAATGGCATTTGATAAACAGGAACTAGGTATGAAATGTTTAAAAAGAGGGGATTTTTGTTTGTTTTTTGTTTTTTTTTTTAAACCTTACCCTTTACTTGGCTACTGTAAAAAATAAAATACTTTCATATTTCAGAAAAAATTTCAGTAAAAAGAAATCTTAGGCAGTGGTTTTAAATATATGTTTTCCCATACACAGACATACACACATGATCTCCCTGATCATAGTTAGCAATGTTTCTCATCAATACTTGCAAACTTGCATTACTACAGCAACGCACAGTGCTCAAGCCCAAGCTCAGCGAAGGCTGAAATCAATAGTAACCTCAGTTGAACGCTCAAGAAAGAGAGGCCTTAAAGCTCACCCTCAAATAATTCACTATATCAAAAACTATTTTGTTTGTCTTAGCTAGCTATTCTTCTCATATATAGATACACATTCATATCTATATATTTGAGTTACATCTAGAATTAATAAAATGAATTTCATTTCCAGGAAGCAAACATCAGATCCCCACAGTATTTTTGCCTGAAAGGTCAATATTTATGTTTCTGCTTCTATGTTGATTTGAAAAGGAACTAAATTATTAGATGTAATTCAGAAAACCTGTTTGAAAAATTGCATGAGAAAAATTAATTCCCACTAAACAGAAAGCGCCTCTAACTTTTCCTGGAAGGACTGAAACAACTTCGTCATTTTGCTCCTTTCTTTGTACTACCAGAACTGAATATAAAATGTAATTACTTGATACTCACATTTATTGAAGCTCAAATTAAATGCTGAGGTATTTCTCAATGAAAACCAAAGATACCTTAACAACATATCTACTTAAATAACCCCAGTTATGACTCTCCCATTTCATTCAAGACTGGGAACAAATATGCCATAGTCATTCAACTAAGACAGGAGTAATAACAAGCTAATTTCAAAAAATGACATCTATTTCTTGTTCTTTTAACTCAAGATTGTTTTCCCCCAAAAATGTCTATACGTAATTAAAATATATACCTACTAAGTGGTCTTAATTTTCATGACTAACTTGATAGTTCCATCTGAGATTCATAGAAGCAAAAGTATGAAATCAAAAAATGGCAAGTTGCCTTTATTAATCTGATATTAGAATAAAATTTTGTGGAGTTATGTTGGTCCTTCAGCATCAAAAGGAGAATTCAGTATGGCTGAGCTCCTGGCTGCAACTTCTAGATCAAGAGACAGCATCGACTATAGTGTTTTTTTGGTTTTTTTTGTTTTTTTTTTTGTTTTTTTTTTAAAGTATGTCATATTAGCCCCAAAAGTAAACCACAGTTTTCTTTTCATACAAGTTCTATAGCTTTCAAATATCCTTAAATCAAATTATGTTTAAAATTCTGCAAAGTGCTGTTAATGGGACTGCACATTAAAGTGGCCCAAATCGGAAAGACCTATTTGCTACTGTTTCAATATAATTGATTAAAGCCTAAATGATTCTGAATTGGATCAAAACTTTTAACAGTCTTTACTAAAAGCCAAACAAGAAAAACAATTAAACAGCTCTGAAACTACATTTAGACTTTTTTTAATATGAAACTAAAATTTACTGTTTCATGTTGTCAACCGTACCGTTTTCTACCTTAAAAAGATACTAGAAACTGGATTATACACAAATCACTAGCGTCTGATCTCTAGAATTAGAGACATTCTTAGTAGTAGCAGCCTAAAGTAGTCTTTCAAAGAAAGACAAATTTTATTTTATACTCACAAGACACGGAGATTCTTCAGTCCTGCAAAGTCCATCTTCGTGATTCTTGTAATGTTATTTTTTTCTAGATCACTGGAGAGATAGAGAAAAAAAAAAAAAAAGAAAGAGAAAAACAACATAGATCATTCAGGCAACATAACCAAAATTCAGTTAGGAGAAAATAACTCCATCACTGGAGCATTATCAACAGCTCAAACTGAACAAATCAATTCCTTAAGTGAAGTTTCAAAAAGCAGTCCTGAGGAACATCGCCTCTTCCCATTACTGTATTGCTCTCATACAAGAAGTTTCTTCCGTTCTTGTTTCTGTCATTAGTGCTCATTATATGCTTCTTTCTTTCTCAAGACCACAATTTCCTAAAAGCTAAACATCTCAAGACCCCGATGGTGTAACAGAGCTGAACTGCAGCACTCTGCCTCAAAACAAAGATCAAGCTTTAGGGGTACTCTAACTCCAAGTGAGCAGCCAGAGAACTGCTTATGTCCATGAGCAGAACTCTAATCCTACCCAAATGAGAGGAAAATTTGCAAAACTAAAGAACAGCTTATAGCGTTTTTCAAACAGCCTCTTGATCTGAATTTTTTGGAAATCCTAGTTTTCAGAAGATATCGTTAATCATACAGACCTGTTTCCCATGTATGTTCACCCTTTGCCAATTCCTATCTTCTCTCTTTACTTAAGCTCCCAATTTTCCAACCCCTCTGCTATTCACCAACACATCTCTCTTGTGTGGTCCTACACTAAGCATTACCTCCTGCACTGTTTCAGTCTGTGCTAATTCATGTTCTAGATTCCAGCTTAATGAGTAACTGAAATCTTTTCCGTGGCAGGGAAAAGCCACTGCAATCAGACCCTGGGCTGGCCAATTTTCTGCAGCTTTTCCTTGGAGTGAGCACACCAAACACACAGAAGAATTGAATATCTAGTTTGTACCTTGATAGAACAGACATAAGAACAAAATACTCTTTAGTTGGAGTCAAATTTTATTTAAGATAAAATTAAAGGGATGTATAAATTGATACTCCATCCAAGACTGGTCATCTCCTTAAGGACAGTACACTAGCACTTAGTGCCTCTAGAGATGGAACAAACTCAGAAGAGCCCCCCACACACACCTTGTTTCCCTACGCAAGGGCTCTCTTTGCCATTTCAGAGGTCTGCTTATATCTCCCTCACTTGTTCTTCAAAAGAGCATACCAACATCTGCTGGTGCTATGGGTCCTGTGCTGCCCTCTGGACTTGCTTTTGCAGGGCCGCACCAGAAGTTCTCCCAGTTGAACAAGTTCTATTGTTTTTTTCCTGCAGAAATATATCCACGTCCTCCATCCAGATTACTCTACCTGACCAGCACTAACCAACAGGGAAAAGGCAAACAGCCTTTCTCTCTGACCTGCAGCCATGCCTATTTTAACATATTAAAGAGTATGCAGCAAACTTTCATATAACAATAAAAACAGATATACTCTCCATTATATAACTGCAAATTTGTTCAAAGTGTCAGAGGGTTTCCTAGTGGCAAGCAGCCTTTCATTCTAAAATAAATTTTCTAATATTGAGGTCAACTTTTTTTCCTTTCCAGTTACATTTTATAGTCACTGAAAGCTGCTAAAAGTCTGAGTAATAGTTCTCATGCTTAAAAAAAAAATGCATTCAGTTATTGTTCTAAAGATCATGAAATTGTAAACAACCGATTTTGACAAGTTTTGTTGTCTACAGTCATTCGCTGAAAAAGACTGAACATGAAAAACTAATCATGAGGCTAGAAGTTTATTTCATAAAACAGAATATGAGATCACAAATTCACAGTAGAAAGTAGAGGCTTTACTTATTAATTTCAGTTTTAGCGCAGTCTCAACATGAGTGTGCACTGAGATACACCTCTTCTGTATTAAGAAGGTTCAATTTCTCTCCCGTTTCCAGTAAAATTCAACAAGACAATAAGCAAAATTACAGGATTATTTTTATGTACGTTTAACAACCACCTGAAACCTGCGCAAATGTTAATCCTGAAATAATTTCTGAAAAATAGACGGGTGTTAAGTACTGCTTCAAGTTGAGTATTTCTGTAGATATGAAAAAGGGAATTCAAGGAAACAGCAGGACTAAGGAATTCCAGACATACCTTAACTATTATGCTTGTATGTTGACAAACACTGCATAGAAGCTACCCCAGACGTCATTTAAGTTGCCAACTAGTAATTTTACAAACAGCATATGAAAGCCTTTGAAGTGTTGAGAATGTTTTAATCACTTACAATCATTCTTATAGCGTGCTACAAGGGGGGAAAAAAAGTGCTAGCTGGCACAATTTCCAGTAATTTTCTACCGTACATGTATTTCTGAACAAGGCAATCCGCATGACTGTTACTCAAACCAATCTGTTTTGACTTCACCTTAGACCCTATCAGTAGGTTAGATCTACTTCTTCTAGGAAGAACTGTGTGAATGTTCAGGTATGAATTATTGAGAATAAAGTGAAAATAATTTTAAAGTAAGATAATTTTTTTCTGCCACCATGAAGTTATATTCCTCTAAAGCATTAAATGAAAAGCAATTGTCATGGTAACAAACTTCATTTTTCTAGATTGAATCACATTGTCCAAAAAAAGGCAGCTATATATTTTGAAGTTTAAGCTTGTTAAAAGGTACATTTCCTTTATCCAGAGGAGAAACAGAACTGATTTCTTACTACACCTATTAATTTCCCCAAATGCTTCTAACTACGAGAATAAAAACATTTTCTAATATGGACATTATCCTCCATTTATCAAAAAAAATGAATTATTTAGATGAGTGGAGATAACTGTACTGACCCATCTGGGAAAATAACTGTTCACACTCCTAAACACACATAATTGTTTTCTCACGCGGTCCCTGTCTATGTTTCAGATGCAGAACAATATGGAATTAGCTTCTTTTAATGTCATATTAACATGCTGGTGTATGCGTAGAAATCTCTTCATGGAACTGGACAGCTAAAAAACAAACAAAAAAAACCCTAAATCCAAGACAATACTAGGCCACTTTATAACTGAGGGTAGTTTGGCCCCTAAAAACAGAAGTCTGCAAAGATGATGGTTCAGCTCACAGTTGATACAGACAAAAACCTAAGTATATATGTCTGCAATATTTGTGCCAAGGACAAACCAGCTACAGTTTGAGATCTTCACCTTTTGCCATTGCAACTTAAATTTGCCATAGGCAACAGGAAGAACAGACTAAGGATCAATCATTTAAAAAAATCCAAACAAACGAAAAACTAAAACTCATTAAAATTTAGGCCAGTAATTCTAAATAGTCTACACTGCCCATATTCAGAAGTTATTTTTTACTGAATTCTGCCATTAAAAGTTGCAGTCACATGGACACGGATGCATGCGTAACACTTTCTTCTTTCCAGTAATCTTTTTCAAACACTTGCCATAATCAATCCCAGTGTGAAACTTTCTAGCGTGTATAAGCAAGACATTAACAAGATTGAAGGTAATTAAGCAGTTTGTGAGATACGCTAGAACGCAGAACAAGCGTTTGTTTTATAACAATAAAATTCAGCTCTGATGGTTATTTATAAATGTCAAAACACTACTAATAAAGATTCCAAGTGATAAAATGGTTTCAAAACAAATAGAATAAACTTCTAAGAGTCAGTTTAAGTGTCTTAATGCAGGATATGCCTAAATGGTGGAAGAAATAGATTTTCCTGACAGGAAACCATGTTCCTTATCACAGACAGGAACTAAAGATAATAGTAAAGAGACGGGGAGAAAAAAAATCCTACGTTTCAGCTACAAGGACAAGTAGAAGAAATACAGGATCCTAACCTGACCTGGGTCAAATATATTTTTTAAAGGTCCATTAAAGAAAGAAAGAAAGAAAGAAGACAACTACAGGGCACTGCCCTTGTATGTATCTGCTCTTCTCATCCACTTGCATTTATGCATCTCTTGACTGAACCTTGCTTTTCTTGAAGAATACCTTTGACTCTCTGTCTACCTTTTTCAGCCTTTCCAGGTTAATTTCTCTCCTCACTCTCAGTTCAGTTCTTCTGTTCTTTTATCCTGGAGCATCATCAACCAGCCATTGGTGTACCAGGGTGACCTGATTGCAAGAAGCACTGGAAAAAATTAAGTCTGGAGGAAGCAATGCTTAAATAGCTTTCATTTTACTTCCATGTTGTTTTCCATCTGCTTTCCATGCCAAAAAGAAGTTTTGCTCTGGCTGTGTCTCAGAAAAGGACTACCAAAACACAGCATCCATGTGGCCAGAATTCTCCTGCCCAGCTCTGATTCAGCCTGGCTTCCCAGAGCAACATGGTCCTAGCGGCCCAGCTGTGGGGCCATGTTCATGAGCCTTGGTTCTCAGCACAGTTTTACTCAGCTGAAGCAGGTGTATATAGAACTGCACTCCTGTCATACATACAAAACAATTCCTTTCTTTCCCCCTTTTTTCCCCTCCTCAAGTCTGTAAGCGAGACCAGCCTCAAAACATCAGCTCTGGAGAACACTGCTGCTATTCTGCATGCCCCAACCTAGTGAGATATGCAGCACCCCATTCCGGCAAACACTTTCTATAACACTTCTTGATCAGTACACATCTCGAGATTGCTTTTCCTCTACTCCTTTAAGATCGATACAACCTATATTTGTACACAGCCCTTAAATTCAACCACTCCAGCAAGTCCTTCTGAAGATTAACATTTCCTTTTCTGAGAGTAAAAATTATTTGGACAATGCTCTAACTATAACAGAACTGTTCTTCAGGAAGTTCAGCTTTCCTTACACTATTTAGTATTTTATTGATAACTGCCTGCTCTGCTTCAAAAAGCAGCAATTCCCTTCAGAATATTTACCTCTTCCAGCAAACCTCTCCCTCAAGGTTTGTCTTCCAGTTGAAGAAAAACAGATTAAAACCTTGATGAACCATGTAACACTTCCTCCTCCTGTTTGCAGTAGGTCTAACACTACCACTAAAAAGCTGATTGCCACAGGTTGATCCATTAGCCAATTAAATTCTGTGACTGTGAGTTACTGAACTGTTACAGACATTAATGGTTTACAGCTGGTGTTTGTGGG